AAAAAGAAAGCTACGGTGCAGCATGCCTGAGTTTGTAGCCATGGAATTCAAACCTACTACGAGTAGCTGCAAATTCCCACTTTGGGTTTGGTTTGCGTTCTACTAGCATGTGCTGTGTGGCTTATTAACCTAGGGCTGGGGCTTTACAATTCTGAGAGATTCCAGGAGGGTCTGGGTATCTCTCTTCTCCCACATCAGCAAAACCTGGCCTCCCAGGTGTGGGTGAGAAGACAGGACCTGCTCAGCACAGGTTGAAAGGCAGTAGGGGCTGCGGGGGTCCAGTGTCCAGGGCCTCCCTTGACCCCCACTTGTCCTGGGACAGATGTCTGAGCATCGGGATGGGAGGTTAAGTCCACACCTCCTCTTCCCCTCACTTATAGACAGCTAGCAGCTGGAGGTCAATGTCGGGGCGACAGGGGCAGGGCTTGCTCTGGACCTCGGCGGTGGACACATTGGAGAACAACACGCAGAGTCTGAGGAGTTTTTCACCTGATGGTAGAAAATTCCATCACACACATGGACAGCGCAGCAAAAGGAAGTGGTGAAACTTCTAGAACATACAAGGAGATTGTCATATTGGAGGGACAGGCTTGGCCAGGCCAATGGGGCAGTTCTGTGGGTGGGGGAGGGAAGGGGTTCATCCAGCAGCAGGTTCTGCAACCCCTCCCACTAATGTGCTGTGGCAGACACGGGAGTGCAGGGTAGGCAGGAGGTACGGGCTCTAGACGTGGTGAGGACCTGTCTGGAGCAGAGCAGAGAGGGTGAGGAATTCTGTGGACACAGGCAGGCGGCTCCCACAGAGAAGGTCCGGTGTAAGGAGGTGGCCGATGCTTGTCCTAAGGGAAGGAGCAGCAGGCGGGTCAGCAAGTGACTAAAGCAGAGCCCAGGCATCAGGTACCCGGACAACAGCCTGCGGCTGTGGCCTAGGGCATGGTGGGCGGTGAGGTGGGCAGAGCCCTTAAATCCCTGTAGTGAGGAGAGATGGAAGCAGAGGCCAGACTGGAAGAATGGCCAGGTGAGGACTGCAGGGCTTGGGGTGGGGCCCTGTTCCAGTGCACGCCTAGCTCCTGGAAGGGTCTCTCTTGGACTGGCAGGTGATGCTACTAACAGTAGGACACCAGGGCTTTCGATCCAGTGTCCAGGACATCCTGAAATGGTCCTCTCCCAGCAGGCACTTTTGACAAATTTATGTAAAGACTTTATCTGTAAGACACGGGTAACATCTCACTTCTACGGCTCTCTTGAGCTGTAGGGACTAGACCCCAAGTGCAAGTTCAAAAACAAAGGCTGTGGTTTTGAAAGGAGCTGGTGCCTCTTTTCCAGGGGCATTAAATGGCTCAGATCATGAGACCCCACCACCCCCATGCATTGTTCTCTGGCTGCTGTGTGGCAACAGGGAGCCCACATTCAGTTTGCCTCTCTCTGGCCTTAAGAGAGCCTCGCTGGCAGGGCAACGCAGGAAGCACATGTGAACGTCTCCATCTGAAACCTCAGCGTGAGTGGAGGGCGAAGCTACCCTTGAAGAGGGGCTGTGGTGGCGGTGCACTGAGTCACACTCAGATCTCGAGGTTACTAAGGTTTCCTGATGCAGAATCCTCAGTGACACTAATTCGTTCATGCATACAGCTGCATCCACTTTCATAAAATAGAAAAGACAGCCACCGAAATGCCACTGTGTCAAACTTGACTTGCGAATAAATACCAAAATGTAACAGTTTGTAAGATGGTTTTATTGGCTTGCCTTTTCTCAACATACATGCAGAAGTGATCACTCTTAAAGCTCCTTGCTGTCCCTGCCCTATCAGCCCTGGTCCTGAAGCAGCTCCTTAGGGATCGTTTTCCTGCCTCCTGGGAGATACATAACACCCTCCTGCCTCCCCCACCACGGAGTGCCGAGAAGGGAAGGAGAGCTACTTGGCAGAAATAAAACACAACGGTAGAGGTTCAGGAATGAAGAACTGTCCTCGTGTCAGGCACGGGAGTTTTATTCTTTAAGACATCAGGCCCCAAATATTAATTCTCAGCGGGAGCACTTGCCAGGAGCAGAGGGATAAGGAAGCAAAGACGATCCTGGGCAAGATGCCCACAGTGGAGGCTCACACCCCGGGAGGCCAGGGACCAGGTGCTCGTGTGGTACTTCAAAATGTGCATTCTGCAAACAAAGCAAAGGCATTTCCGTGAGCAGTTCTACCTCCACCCACCTTCTCAAGGCCAAGGAGGCTCCAAGATCAGGGCTCGGTGCTGCTTTCTCCCCACACATGGGGAATAGCACATACTCCTCCTCAGGTCGCTACGTGCAGTAACCAAATCCAGGTGGTCAGGGCAGAGAGTAAGTGGCATAGGCTTTAGCAGGGTCACTGTCCAGTGCTCAAAGGACAGGGCCCCAGGGAGGGGGACAACTGAAAAAGAAATTATGGGAACTCTCCTGGTCCCAAAGCCTTATCTAGACCTTCTGCCCCAGATCTGCTGGCCAGTGGGCAGGGACCTCCATCAATAATCAGGGAATGGTGGCTGCAGGACCTGAGCCTTCCTCTCTGTTACCCCAGGACAAAGGGCAACAGCAGCCACTTTAGATGCTGATTCTGGGAAAGTGCCTCACGCAGATAGTCTGTCTTTGAAGGCAAGTGGCACTGGGTCTGCCAGATGGCCGACAGCAGGCGCCACACCCAAGATGCAACATGGGAGCCCCTGGAGCCAATGTGGCAACCCCCCATGCGCATGGCCACCTGTTGTTTGCTCAGACACACCCCTCTCCCAGGGAGGGACTTCAGGGCAGTTGTCCTGCACACCCCACACCCACATGCTGAGGAAGGGAAGATAATGGGGCAGGTGGGAAAGACAGAGCTGCACCAGGGTTCCACGCCCAGCAATGCTGCCTGTCTGCTGTAAGCATGTTAAAAATGATAAGAAACTCTGGCTGGTTTGTTTGCTGAAAATAACCTTGAAAGTTATTTCCAAACCTATATGTTTTCCCTTTCTGTCTAGAATCATTTTTAAACCAGATTCCTCTACATACTACCTTAGCTTCAAAGACTTTTTTGAAATGACTGCTTTTATATTTTACAAAAAGGGGAGAGAAGGGGACAGTCACTGCTGCCCTGGGCGTGAAGCCTCTACCAAGGGACAGCAATGGTGCTTCCTGGGGACTCAAGCCTCCACCTCTGCCCAGAAAAGATGGGGCTGCCTTGGGACACCGTGTGCCATGGGGCTGGCCCCGGGACTGCAATTCTGCTCCCCTCAGGGTTTACCTGTTTCCTGCAGAGGCTTGAAGCACCAGGGCACCTCGGGGATGCTTGAGTCGAAACAGCAGCCCCTGTTGTTGCACTGCTCCGGGCTGACCTGGGGGTAGCCGCAGTCCACCCTGTCCTTGGCCGGGACGGCACACTGGTTCGCCGCTGCCCAAACAAAGCCCAGTCAGCTGCCACAGCCCTTCCTGGCTCAGGGGTTGGTTTGTAGCTTTGTTTTGCAAGTTTGGACCCGCATCAGTAAGCAGCTCATGATAAATGGTTGTGATGTCCACTGCCCCCTAGAGGATCGGCCTTGCACGTAATATTTAAGAGAAAAGTCTGGGGACCAGCAGATGGTGGAATGGCTACATTGCTGGACTCCCATGTAGTTAACTGCGGTTCAAGTCCTGGACAGACCCAGTGGCTGAAACTCACAACGGGCACAAGTGCGTGCGTGCCCAAGATCCCAGGAGAAGAATGGAGGTGAAGAGATTGCAGCATGGCTATCCTCCCCAGGGATGATTTCTCACTTTCTGTCTCTCTGTCTCTCTCTGTCTTTCTGGTGAGCACATGTGCCCTATAGCAAAAAAAGAAACCAAAACAAAACAAAACAAAACCCTCCCCCCCCAAAAAAAAAGAGAGAGAGAGGTCTGTTAGCCACTAAAATCAGGAAATCTGACTATTTGGCTGGGCTCTCTCACTTGGCTTGTGCATATCACCTCACCAGGAAGCCGGTGCCAGTTGGCCAGGTCCCAGGGCAGCCCAGGGTCCTCTGAATCCAGAAATAAAGTTTCTCTTCATTGTTTAAGCAATGCCTATTTTTCTAAATGAAAAGTATAGTGGCAGGTCTGCACTCCATAGACAAAATTACTATTATGCATGCTATTTTAAATCTTCCTTCATCTCCCCACCCTCAAACTATTTAGCTTGTCACATGGCCCCCCCGTACATTTTTGCCTCCAATATTTATTTTTCAATCAGACCTGTGTGTCTACACATGCAGTAAAAGTTCACTTCATCTTACTAACTGAATTTTTCCTCAGGAAAATAGAAACCACAGGAAATCTCTCAAAGGCCCTTCTAGGGCTGCTGGCCAGTAATTCCTCATCCCAATGGTTCCTAAACTTCATTCACATTGAAATTGGCTGGACTCTTCAACGTTTAGGAAGCCCGGTTCCCACCCTGAGACTTCTGCTATAACCGGTAGTTGGTGCACCCTGGGCTTTAGGGTTTTCACGAGAGCGCCATCTGATTCGAAGGGCTGCTATGCTTGTTCTGCTATGTTCGAAACCGCTGCCTTTGCTCCTGCTTGGCAGATAACTTGGTAAAGCCACCCCCTCATTTGTTTAAACGGGGGCTAATGGACTAGCCATGTCCACATCCACACCCCACGATTGAGTTGCAACACGGTGTGGAACTGTAAACGGTGCTTGTATGTGCTGAAAATGTTCCGGAAGTACATGTTTAAGAGAAATGTACTCTTTTTTCCTCTCATTTGTCTTTCTTTGTTGTTTTGCAAATGTGCCAAAGCAATGTATAAAGACCTATACTGTAATTCAGAAAACCCCAGCAAAGAAGGCAGTGGGCATCAGCTGATGGCCAGGCTGTCCTGGGTTCCATTCTGATTTCAACACTGATCAGGAAAGGTTGACATGAAAAGTTTCACTGGTCAGAGTTCACTTTCTCTGGGTCAGTTTCCTTGTCTATAAAATGGGAACAGTAAGAACCATGCTACAGGGTGACTACAAGAGAAAAATGCACATCTGACACATGGTAATTATTAAATGAACGTGGAAGCATGTCCCTTTCCTAGCGGTCAAGCCCACAGGAAGCCTGTTGGCCTGGCCCTTCCCGCCCGGCCATCAGGGCAATCTGAGCATACTCACACAGGCCGACGTACTCGCTGGCCGATTTGGAGGACCCCAAGGCCAGGACCAGCAGCAGCAGCCAGAGCACCCTGCGCTCCATGATGTCAGCTGACTCTGACGGCTGCTCAGAGGATGCACGCCGTGGCACGGGCAGGCTCATTTATACCCCGTGTTTGCACAGCCTCTCCAGATTGTTTGTTTGGGGAGGGCTCACCCTCCTCCTGGCACTGGCTCCTCCTACTTCTCTCTGACACACAGTTGCAAAAACCCCAGAAGGCTCTTTCTTCCTAAAGGGGAGACAGTGTTTTGCACCCCACTGTTTGGCAGCAAGCAGGATGGTGGCTTCTAACCCCTGGGTTAACTCCCCGTAACTGGGGTCAGGCTGTATTAGCCTGGCCTGGAGGAAAGGATCAAGGTTCTGCGGGGCTGCAGGACAGGGTCAACAGGTGCTGGGGCCCAGCTCTGGCAGGGACCTTGACAGTGTCAGCCAGCCCACCAGCCGGGAGCAGATCCCACTCAGCCAGGGCAGGCACTCGTGGCCCTTCGTCCAGATCGGCCACCAGCACTGGAGATGTGGTCGGGCTGCGGTCAGGCTCTCGCCTGTCCCTCAGAGCTCCTGAAAGGCAGAGATGCCTTTTCTTTCTCTTTTGCTTTTTCCCAGCCCTCCCCCCCAAATAATTAGTAATTATATTTTAATAGGTGCATGAAATAAATGTATTCAATGCATTTGAATAAAATGACACATATATTTGATTTTGAATCTCAAATAATAGAAGAGACCCCCTGCTGCCCAGAGGTACCCCTTTTTAACACTTTCTTGGGTATAGATCCAGGATTTTCCTTCCAGACCTAAGCATGCTTTTACTGGAAATGGGAATTGGCTATATACCTTTGCCCGGCTTGCCAGTAAAGCTTCCCATCAGTGATGTTCTCACCAGGTCTGGGGCTGTGAGGGTGCTAAGTTCTCCCTGGAGAACTCCCCATGAGGGAGACCAGCTGTCATAGTTAGGAAGGCAACAGATCTGTTCCAAAGTCCTGGCTATGTGATCCTGTACGGATCACCTTCCCCTCGTGCCTCAGTTTCCCTTCTTGTCACATAGTGCCCAGGCTACAGGCCTGCATGAGATGGCGATGCCACATTGACCACCTGCTGGGTGTGGTCCTGAAGAGCCAGATCCACTGGTGCTGTGATCTGACAGGAGTGACCGGTGTGGCTAAGGGACAGGGGCTCTGAGCTGGGCCTTTGGAGTCAGGGCAGTTGAGTCAATCGTGTAAGACTGTGTTTCCTCCCTCCCTTCCCAGTGAGTCCTCTATCTAGGGACCCAGGTTCAGCACAAGGGCACAGTGGGGCACAGTGGGGAACAGTGGGGCCGGAGAATCTACCTGCCTTCCTGAGCCCATAGGCCGATAGCCTCCCCCAGCCTTCCTATTCCTCCAGGGGTGCCCAAGTCCCAAAGTGACCTGTAAGCCTGATAGTCACTGGGCACCAGACCCAACCAGTCAGTTGACTGCTACAGGCGCCTGAGACCTGGGGGTGACCAGCCAGCTGCTCTGATGAAGCATCGCTCCTCCTCCTCCCCAGCTGCAGCATATCTGCAGTAGTCGCCCAGCTGTGGGCATGGGCTGTTCTGGAAGCCCTCCCCTAGGGTTTGTGTGCTCATGCGTCTGAGAAAAGAGGGAAGGGCAGGACTTCCTGACTGGGTCCTTCCTGCCTGTCCCTCAGTGCCGGAACTAACCTTCCTCCAAAAATGCATGGCCATTTATTTGTACAGTCTGAGCATGGCTCACAGGTCAGGCACACAGGACACCACGCAGCCCCCTGACCTCAGAGCCTGGCAAGGGGGAAAAAGCCATAAAAGCATGTTCTGAACTGGGTCTTAATTGGGCTGGGTCTTAAGGGATGAATAGGAGTTCATCAGACAGGGGAGAGTCAGAGGGCATTCTAGGTAGGGCCACAACATGGCCTTCTTGGTACTATTCACTCTCCATCAACAGAAAATACCCAAGTGTCATGGATGGAGTTACAAGTTCCATGCCACTTCTCTGTTTTCTAATACTGCCTCTCTCGTCTACTCAAGCCAACAGAGTCAGATGGAAGAAGGTACAAAGTCCAGATAATTACACCCCTAAGTGGCCCTGGGTCACATGCCTCCCCAGGAGCACCCTGCTGACCAGCTGCCACCCTCGTTTGGCAGCTGCCTGGGGTGTGGCCCTCCTTGCTGCCTCCTGGAGAGGGGCTTGCAGACTTCCTGATAATCCGGACCTGAACATGGATATTCTCAGGACGCAAATATGGTGACTGACCCAGGGACACTCCTATCTTCTATCCACTGAGGACAAATGGGATAGATGGGGACTGAGAGCCATGTAGTTGGAACACCAACCGCAAAGTGAAGGATTAGGAGCAAGAGGTCCTGGTGAGATCGGAAGGCATTCACCCTGGGGCTCTCTCATGGGTCCTGGGTCTCTGGCCCTGAAATCTGGGCCAGTCTGTCCTTCCACATAGCGGAAGACATGTGGCAGCCCCTGGTGTTCCAGGGAAACAATGACTGGCTCAAAGATACTTTGTGATGCTTTAGCCACCGCCTTGAGAAACAGTCTCAGTGGTCCCGGACTCCAGCGCTCCTGTGGGTTTGGGACTATTGCATCAGTCCAAGCACTGTTATGAGGCAGGGTTTCCAGGAACTCCTGGGCTGGTGAGCAGGATACCCAAAGGAACCCAGATAAGTCAGAAACAATGCGGCCAGCAGCCAGGGAGCAGGAACGTCTCCTCCTGATTGCCTCCCCCTTCTGGACCCAGACCTACTCCACCAGGAAGCTGAGCAGAGGCTTCAAGGCCCTGGCAAGCACACTGAAGAGGAGACCCGGATGTCACCATGCCTTCCGCATGCTGTGCTCCAGCCTGCATT